GTTTTAATATTCATTCTCAGTTGTTGTTTTATATTGATTTTTAGATAAACATAGTTTTCACGGACATTTTTATACTTTTGTTTTTTTTATAATTCTTGTAAAATGGAGTGAAATCCACATCAGTATTGGAGTGAAATCCACATCCATATTTGTGTAGTCCGGTAAAATAGTAGGAACACAATAATGTTGTTCTGCAATATTGTTCTAGGGTTCCTCACCTACAACTGAGAATCGGTCAAAAGCTTGCAACTAGAAGTAGAGTACATATAAGAAAAGCAGTACAACGTTTTGGTCTAGGTTTGGAGAAAACATCACATTTCAGGTTCTGTTACAGTGCTGTAGAAGAGAATGAGAAGGAAATTGAAGAGTTCCATTCTAGGTGGATGAGGTTATAAAAATTGTCTGCAATGACTTGTTCCAGGAAGAGAGGGCTGGTAACATAAAGTGTATGAAATGCAAAGACAAAAAGTCTGAAACGTTGCCCAACAGAAAGCACTTCAAAGCAGATGACAAAATGGCTACATTTTGGATTAGCAACCAAGAAAACAAGATAGAGCCAATAGTGAAATTGCAGCTTAGAATTCATGGTAAGCAATGAAAGTCAGATATATTATGGACCAGTGTCCCTTGTTACTAAAAAGTGTAAAAAGTACCTTTCATAAAGTATGGGAGACAACATCAGTATGAAACACAAAGAAGATTGCCAAGCTACTATTTGTCTCCTAATCTGTTTTTCACATCCATTTATCTAATTTTCCTGCTACCATTATAATATTTATTTCAAGTATTTTGTGTGTCTGAAAATATGGGCATCCTTGAAATCAGTCTTGATTCCTGGAGACTGCCTGGACAAGTCCCTGCAGTTTTCTTAGCAAAGTTTTTCAGAAGTGGTTTGTGATTACCCTCTTCCTAAGGCTGAACGACAGAAACTGGCCCAAGGTCACCCAGCTGGCCTCCTGCCTAAGGTGAGAGAGGACTCACAGTCTCACGGCTCTTAACCTAACATCTTTAACCACTGCACAAAACTGGCTGTCAACATATTATTTTAGATTTGTCCAAATCACGGGTGGTGACATTTTTATTAGAAACAATCAAATTAACCCAGAAGACTGTACCATATTTCAGGTTACTCGGAATTATTCTTTTTATTTATACTTTCAAAGGGAACTAATATTGCCTTTATCCTTTGCAATCAGGTATAATCTTACAAGGACACCAAATCAACTTTGTGTTCAATCTACTGTCTTCATTTCAGCACTTATAAATAGCATGGTTTTAAGTGTCCAAATTTATTTTTCTTCTTCATTATATTGCATAATATTGTGGGCTAATAAATAATGCTTGAGAATCAAAAGCCTACCCACCCTTTAAAAAAACAAACAAAGCTGAACTATTTTCTGCCGAGGTACTGGCAACACAAAACATTTGGCAATGTAAACTCCTCCAAAGATTTACAAGACTATTGGTTGTTAATTGGCATAAAATAAGTGATTTTTTTTCCTTTTTAATAAAAAAACATTTTGTTTCCATATACTGTACAGAGGTTTGCAGGTAAACAGAAGTTTTTAGTACATTGCTGCATCTTTCTTGTCATTTTAATTATAAGCATATTTATCTCATCAATTAAAGTGGGGAAATCTGGGTGAGATTTGTGGGTGCTCAAAATTTCACAAAATTAAATTGGAATAATAGATGTCTCTTGCTCCACTCCATGAAAAAGAACTATTTTTTCTTTTCCTGATCACTAAAATATAGTACATAGAAAAAGCCACATCATTTAATTGATTTTTAAAAAATGATACAGCAATTGATGAAAACCTGAGGTTTTGATCCTCAATGTTTCACACAATAAAGCTGTGTTTTAATGCTCAACAACTGCATCAAAATGTTCAAAAATTTTGAAGCTCCGTTGACGTGCTTATTCTTGAATTAAGATGCTGTACATTGGATTGCATTGTTAATAATTTTCTTTTCTTGTGTCTTTGTATCAGTGTTGACTCCTGGCTGAGGAATTCTGGGAGTTGAAGTCCACAAGTCATAAAAGGGCCAAGTTTGAAGACCCCTGCACTAGAGTATACTGCTAATATTGTTCTACTGCACTTGTTTTTATATTTACCTCTATATGTCTGTGTCAGTTACATAATTCCAAATGAATTTGTATTTGAATAAAAAGGTGTACATGTAAAGTACTGTCTGCAAAATAAATTAATCATGGATCTTGTGTTTGTCCAATACAGATTTTATTGATAAATGAATGGATTATCTCTCCAAACAATTTGCTAGTGCGTTTGTTATGCACTAGCTCTATTTGTAATGCCTGAGCAGACTACAGAAACCATGATTCAGGTAAAATCTGGTTTCTATCCTATAACCCTGTGCTAGCAGCTTACAAATGTGTATATGTGTGTGTGTGTGCTTGCGTGTGCACATGCATTTCACATATGTACTGAATTGACAGGCTATAACTATTTACTTGGTTGCCACAAATGGTGCAAAGTCAAACCTGGGTTCTTTGGCAATTTCTCGTCTCAGTTAACTCTGTTTTGCATTTTGGTTTAATGATGGCTTAGTATTTCATCTCAATGCAAGTACTTGATGAGGACTCAAGATTACTTTCCTAACATAACTATGAAATATTTCATTGGTGATAAGGCTGTACTTACATGTTACGCTTACATATTACACTTATCAACAGTTTATGGAACCATGATCTACACAAGTCATTTTTTTCTGGCTTTCCAAGACATAGTCAAAATAAACCACACTAAGTTCATACAACACACTAAGTCAAAATGCACGTTACTAATTTGTGATTCTAGCTTCTAACTAAGTTAGGAAAATAAAGTGTCTATTCAGAAAAATGTTTTCAGTATCTATTCACAAGCAACAGACACATAAAGGAGTCTAAAATCAACTTTCAAAAAACTAATTTTAATCAAAACAAAAGAATCGTTGATCATTAACAAGTTTATAAAACAGTGATTTAGTTACATAAATAAATTGATATCAGTGTATCAAATCTTAATTACTTTCAACTTCATGAGGATGTTTACATGGGTGAGGAAGTACAACCTTTTTTCCTAGTATAATAAATAAAATGGAGAGCATGGAACATTTTTCCCTCTAAATAAAAAAAAATCTACAAACATACTCTAGCATGTTCTCTAGTGAAAAGAACAAGAGACACGGGACAACTTTTGCACCAAAACATTTAAAAAAAATGCATTAAATGCACAAAGGTACAGAACCATCAGCTAAAGTAAAAGACACTATACTGTAACCAAAATGGTAATAAGAATATAATGAACAGTTTGGTAGTTAGATCTCCAGTTTGGTTATTTTAAAGCATTAAGACAAGGCAAGATAGAAGGCTGCTTTTCTTCTGAAGTAATTCTAGAGGAAATAAAAATACTTTGTTGGTTTTATTGTTGTTGTTTTTTTAAAAAACTAACTGAAAAGTAGAACAGTCATACCAACTTTCTGTCCTGCACAAAGTCAAATACCTATGCAGAATAAGATTAGCTTATTAATAGCTCCTGCAAAGGCGTAATGTATCATGTCAATCATTTGGAAAACACTGCAGGTAGCTACAGACAAGGATGTACTACACGGCTACCACCAATGACGGAAGGGCAATGCACACAAATCACATGGGATAACCAGGTCCTTGCAACAACTGGCTAGATGCTGCAGCCATTTTCACTATACTGTTGTTTCTGTAATATACTTTATGAGAAGTGGTTAAATAAATCGTTTCAACAAAATAGCCAGGCGTTTCAGGGACTGGAATCCAATATAATTTGCACGCACACTGCTAAGTTTACAAGTAGTAACAATGTGGTCCATTATTATCCATAGCCATCCCATGATATGAAAAAAGGGATATTTAAGTTTTCTAGGCTAGGAGGCACAAACCCCAAATCTGGCATACTGTATTCTTAATGCTAAGGCTTGCTGCTCTGGCTGTGTTGTCCCCTCTTTACTAGAGTGCCTGATACAAGTGCACAAGTGTGTATACATATACATATGCATACACGCATCTGTATAAATATATATATATATACGTATAATTTTCCCCTAATTTCCATCCAAGAATTCAATCCAAAAGGTGGCTCTGCATAGATGCCCAGCATATTCAGTTCGTCACCTGAGCCAACCTCTGAAGCTAGGCGCACTTGAGTCTTTTTAACGTTTCCTTGTTTTTTGTTTAAAACCAAGCTACTGCAGCTTCAAGTATTTCGCATTATAGATTTTTTTTAAATAAATTAGTTAACGTTATATTTTTTCAATATTCCGACATATACTATAATATATATATATACAGTACAATAAATGCTCTCATTCTTTAATTTTATTTTATTTTTTCAGATAAATCCCTGAGAATGTATGTTGACAGTCGCTAAGTTTCCACATGCGCAAGCGTTGTGTGTGCCATGCTTCTGGATGAACAAGCACTGCAAAGCCACGTGGGTCAGCCTTTCGAACTATTAGTTATTTGGGAGGTTGGTTCATTTAAATAAGCTGAAATGTCAGGATGAGTTACAAAAGAGTAAAGCTGGAGCCATTCGAGGTACTTATCACAGGATGGAGGTGTTTTTGTTTGGTTTTTTTTTTAAAGCCATTGCAATATATTTTTTTCTTTTCTCTCTCTCTCTCTCTCTTTCTCTCTCTCTCTCTCTCTTTGATTTGAGGCTGTGAATTAGACAGAAAGAATGGGAGAGCTTGGTGGACTTTTGCCACTTGACAACATAGACTCAGTGTAAACCAAACTTCTCTTTTAAGCCTCTCAATCTTTCATACAAAACAGAAAAGGAAAGGGGGGGAAAAACACACATACTTTCACAATGTGACATTTTAGTTTTGCAAACTTAGTATAGAACTATACACATATAATACCGGTGTGGCTCTGTTTAAGTTAAAAAGGATACAAAGGCAGGCTCAAGTAAAAATGTATTGCCCTCCCACCCCCTTCCCCATCCATTCACACTTTTTCTCTTTTTGTCAACCAAATCGTTCACGAACCAACATCATCAGTTTCTTTTTGCCTTTGTAGATTTGTTTTAGGTTGTCAATGAACTGAGTAAACTGAATGTGTCCATCATGAGCCATCAAAAAAGTCTCACGGGCCTTACTCAGGAATTCTATAAACTCGCTGTAATGCCGTGGACTGATGTGCGTGAGCCGAGAGTGTGTTGTGTTAATATATGCTCCAATTGTGGCATCTAGGAGTTGCCTTAATGGGGCTTTGTCCAAGGACATGAGCTTACCAGAGTTCCTCCTTCCGTGAAGTCCCACCATTCCAGGAGTGGTCAAAGTACATCTACGCAAGATATCGGACAGTACTGTTGCACATTTGACACTTTTGACCACCAGAGGTATTATAGCCGCCAATTCATTTTTTCCAAGGGAGTGACTGAGTGCACAAGCCCATAAAACATCATTAATGGCAGGGTGTGTATCCTGATTGTAACTCAGGTTGAGATGTGTCATGGCCAACGTGGCCAGTTTATAGGCCCGCACAGGGTAACCACGATGTTCCATGTATCGTGCTATAGTGAAAAGCTGCGTATAGCTCATGCCAGTTGCAGCGGCGTCAAGAACAATTTGGTAAGCAGTCTCAAAAGCTATGTGATCCTTTTCACATAAGGTCAGTGCAGAGAGGGCACAGTTCTGAGGATCCTTCATGGCACACTGTAGAGCAAGCGTCCTAGCACTGCTGGCCAGTTTCTCCTGCTGATGGCAGTCTAGATGCAAGCGGACTATAGTGCTGTTTGACATTACTGTAGTAGCAACAATACTAGTAGCTTCAGTTGGAGTGAAAAGTGTAAACCAGCTTTGCATGATGCTGTCCAGTGCATACACACCTATGAGACACAGAAAAATATTTGTCACAAAGATGGACGCAAACAAAAGACTGAAGAAAGAGCCAGATACTTGGGAGAACCACTTACAAAGGCTTCCAAAGGTACCTGAACTTTGAAAACACAGTGTGCTCTGTACCAAAGATTGAATTCAGCATCAGAGAATCTTATCTTTCTTCTTTAAAATAGAAATATCCTGGGTTTTTTTCCACAAAGGTCCTTTTGAAATATGCTGGCAAACCCAACTAGCTTCATTAAACATCCCTGAGCCTGCTCAGAATCAAATAATAAGCTGAAATAGGATATTTCTATCAAATTCGTGGCTGTCTGAAGCAAAGCAGAGTTAACGTGAATGGAAAACTTTATGAGCGATTTGGTACTTTTGGGTCCTACAGAGACACAAATGCTGCACCAGCAAAATAAACATTCTTTTTTTCTTTTCTCTATAAAAAGCCAATTTGAAAAGAGCAATGGGACCAAGTGGCTAACAGAACTACCTGTTAATAAGAGGAAGTGGTTTGCCCAGCAACTGCTTCTGGCATCTGTGGCAGCAGATACAGCAAAACCCCACATACCACAAGGCCAATAGCACTGTCTTTTATGCACTGGACAGCTCTCTCCAATATGCTATGGTACTTGATAAACTTGCCATCTCTCCCACCTTCTACTCATCTCCGAGAGCTTAGCTGCCCTCTGTTGCCTTAATGGATAGGATACAGCTGAAAAAATTCTGTAAAGATTCCCATTGCACAAAACTCCTTTACCTATTTGTCTGAAGGGTTTATCCTGCAATTTGTCTAGAAAGTGGTACCTGCAATTCTAATCTAATTATGCCTAAAACATACTGTAAAAGGAACATGCACTTTAAAAATCGGAACTCAAAAGAGCCTTGCTCCAAAACCCTTTCACCTATTTCTGTGTAATAATTTTCATCATTATTCATTTCCTTTCATAATTTTCTTGCAATTTTCATTTTATACTTTTGAAAAACAAAATTACAGCATTCTGCTTTTCCCTCCTATAGTAATATGGGAGTACAAAAAAATCACATTCAAAAGAAATGTTTTGATCATTCTGCAAATGTTTCCTTGACACAGCTATGAACTGGAAACAGGAATTTTCAGCTTCAGAAGGGACTGTTTCAAGAGTGAAACATTTCTAAAATGATTTGAACAGCCTGTTTTGTACATCCCTGCATGCTGATCAATGGAAGGTATAAATCAATCTCAAAGTTGAAGTGGATAACTTCTGGCAGGTTTTTTTACCCTCTCCTTGCTATCTCCCTGGCCCCCTTTCACCCACCCCATACTCTGTCCCATTATTATGTGTATTCCTCACAGGCATTAATACAGAAGCAGGATTGTAGGTATTCTTGCAAGTATATCTTCAGAAGACCCAGGAGGAAGTGAATTATGCAGCCCACTCCAGTTGTTATTCAGACTGGGGAACACTATTGAGAATTCTGTATCTCTTCATGGCTTTTGATACCATCCACCATAGTATTCTTCTATGCTGGCTGAGGGTGCTGGGTATGAAGGGCACAGTTTTGCAGTGCTTCTCTTCCTCCAAGGCCACTTTCAGGGAGCTGTCAAGTCGCACTCACTGCTTCATGGGCCTCCCCCCCCCTGAGTATCACAGGCAGAGGCTGTGAGGGCCTAAATGGGGAAAAATAGGGTTATAGGTCCAGGAAATGGATGTTTACATCTTTGGTTTTGATGGGATAGCACTGCCCCATTCAGAGCTTATGACGAACCTGGGAGTCCTCCTGGATTCATAGCTCCTGCTCAACAAGCAGATGGCAGCTGTGTCCAGGAGGCTGTTGTAGAACAGCCTCTTCTGTGCCATTTGTGCTTATTTCTGGACCAAGAGGCCATGCTCATATTTAACCTTGTTTTAAATACTATCAAACTGGACTATTGCATGGGGCTGCATGGGGCTTCAGGTTTCAGTTGGTCCAGAATTGAATCATGTGGACTGGAGTTATGGCCACATCGTGTTAAGCCTGTGTCACTGCTACTCTATGGCAGTATTTCTGTGTGAGATTCAAGGCACTGGTTATCATCTTCATAGCCCTCATGTCATAGGCTGGGTTATTTGCAGGATTGCCTTTTTGCAAGAAATTTGTGTGTCCCATTTGCTCCCATATAGAAAATATGCTCCAGGTTCCTTCAGTTAAACCCTGCCATCTTATGGGACCTAGGAAATTGTTTTTTTGTAGCTCCCCTTATGCTCTAAACACACTCACACTTCTTCCCTTCCAATATATGACAGAGCCCAACTCTGCTTGCTAATAGAAAAGCTATTAAGGCCTGCTTTTCCCCAAATATTTGGGTCCATTTGAGTGGAGTCCCCCTGATTGTTTAATTACTTTGTTCAGTTACCATGTAACATGATGGTTTTGGGTCTTTTAATATTAGGTGGCTATTGTGATAGTTTATTATTTGTTTTTTTGTTGTAAGCTGTCTTGAATCACTTTATTTGAGTTGGCAGCACCCATAAATCCATAAAATAAAACTATAAAATAAGGGAACTTGTGACCCTCTAAATTCTGCCAAATGACAACTACCACCAACATAATCAATGGACTTTTATGATTTTCACTGAATTCAGGCAATTGGCATTAACATGTAAAGCAGTGTTTCTCAACCTTGACAATTTTAAGGCATGTGGACTTCAACTCCCAGAATTCCACACCCAGCAATGCTGGCTGTGGAATTCTGGGAGTTGAAGTCCACATGCCTTAAAATTGTCAAGGTTGAGAAACACTGATGTAAAGCCACAGTACCTGAAGAAATAGATCTATGGAAATTCTCACTCATGCAGGTCACAGTTGTCTCAAAAAGGTACTTTTTCAAAAGGCAACTGAACTGATTTTCCTTGAGGAAGAAGATGTTTCTCTTCTCATCCAAGAAGCTTCATCAGTTATGGCTGAATGGGGGGGGGGGTAGGAGTGCCTATCTTTCCATCCCCCATCATCTAGTCACAACTGATGAAGCTTCTTGGATGAGAAGAAAAATATCTTCTTTTTCCTCAAGGAAAGATAGTCCAGCTACCTTTTGAAAAAGTACCTTTGAGACATCTGAAGAAATACTCCACCTATATCTTCCTAAACATTTATTAAGTTCACCTTTGGAGGCCTTACTCTGGCTGCTCCCCCTCTCCCAATGCTGAGGTGCAGAAAATGGCTTCACAGTAATGAGTCTTTTCAGTGATAGTCTTGTCAGCCCTTCAAGATAGGCAAGGTCAAATAATATGGCATGGCAGAAATTTCAAGAATAATCTCTATTTTGTGGGATAGAATAACAGAATCTTGACAGAGTTTCTATCTAACCTTGTGTGTACCAAAGAAAATCAAGGTTGAATTATTTTAACTTTCTTTCCTACCTTTTACTCTTTCTCAGGACCATTTCTCTGGAATTCTCCCCTTAACAGCTCACTAAATCCTTCCCCATTTCTGAAACCAAGTCTACATTCCTTCACACCACCTATTGTGAAATACTCTTCCTGATAAGTGTGCCTGCTGCAGATTTTATAGAGTTCTCGATGGCAAGCAAGATATGTTTTCTTCTGCCAGACATTTTAATCAATTTATCAGTATCCATCTATTGCTCTTAAGTGCTTCACCACTGGTATACTAGGTAGCTTATATCAGCCTATTATTTATTTTACCTCATTACATTGCCTTTGGTTGTTTCTATGGATTGTGAAATGTTTTTCTTCCAAATTTTTATCATGCAATTTCCATGTGCTATCCTGAAAAAACCTGATTTTGAAGGGTGGCAAATAATTGTAAAAATAATTTAATTAATCCAGCAATCTCAACAGTGACTAGCTTTCCCCCTGTGTTCAAACCTAAAGATGTTTCAAAATGTTTGAATGCTCTAAGCAGATATGGCAGCTCTTTCCTGATTGCCCTCAATAGAAAAAAAGCAATTTACAGCCTCAGTCTCCTTGATTTGTCACAGATTGTTGCTTGTTGCTACTTTAGCCTATACCCCACTTGAAGTTGAAGGCCTCATGTAGATGTGAATGGCTACAGATTAAAAAAAAAACCCTCAAGACTATAATAAACTCTCAATCTAGCACTGCACATTTCTACAAACAAGTCCTAGCATCCAACATATTCCCCAAGGAATGGGCATCCTTTTACACCATTCCATCCCCCAAATAAGATAGAAGATGTCTATATAGCACTGAATATAAGCTCAGCAGGAAAATAGAAATTTGTGTCCTGACTGAAATACCTTCGCCTATAGTCACAGCCAGATTCCGTTTGAAATGAGCTGGTTTCTTTAGTGCCCTTTTGTTGTTCTTATGAGGTCAAACAATGACTGATGGGGTCTATAAACTGAAGCTTACATGCAGCTTGAGTGCCTCATTATTGCTTGAAATAATTTGCACACATCTGTGCACTTAGCTAACCACACCCAAACGTCCTCATTTTACTCATCTGGGTCCTGTTGTACTATGCGCTTGCATATACATGTACACCTTTCTCCTGCTCCGTTCAATGCTTTCCTTCATTTACATAAACAAACACATCCTCATTTATTTATAAGCTTAGGTATGTCTCAAAAGTGATCTTTGCATTGCATCATAGTTTCCTTATGGAAGTGACACATACACACACAAATGTACCACAAACAAAAAAAAGCAATTTGCTTACCAATAGGCTACTATTAAATCACCAGATATACCTCCTTTTGTATGAAAATTAGGAAAGGTAAATCTTAGAAAGCAGAAACTGAAATCCTAACAAGCTACTGTTTTTCAGCCAGAGATTAGTCAATAAGAGCAATTCATTTTAGGGAAAGTTTACAGTTACAATGAAAAATTCATTTACAGACCAAATGAAATCTAGACTGATTTGGGGTTTCTTAGAAATTACTTGCAGCTGATGAGTCTAAACTTTTATGGCCATTAACAAATTTTAAATATATCAAGAAAACAACTGTAAGTTTTGGATACATTAATACTATGTTCAGGGGTTTGGACTAGTTAAAAACTTCAGCAGAATTTGTGGAGAATGCAAATCCTTTCTCAAATTAAATTTACTTTGAGAACTTGCCTATTCTTGGGAACACTTCTTTTTCATTAGAAGATCAGAGACCTATCATAAATTCCTCTGTGTTGACACCCTGGTTCTTATAGCAAATCCAAACATTATGTTTTAGGTGTTGTTTTCAAACAAATTATAACAATTAAGTTTTCCTCATAACTATAAATGCACTGTGGATAAAATTCTAGACAGTGGTATCTCAGTACTCGTCCTTATTTGGTCCCGGGAGATGCGATGAGTACCAAAAAGATGAGTATCAAACTATTTTTTCTCATAAGGAATAACGTAGTGAGTCAAGACAGCTGACACTGACACGTTCTAGCTTGTGTGTTGATTACCAAACAAACTATGAGTACCAGGACAAAATTTTCATGCCAAAATGCGTTGAGTAACAAATTTGATGAATTTCAAAACAGTTGAATACCAAGGTACCACTGTAGTCTCATGAACTGCATTCTTAGCAATTTGTGCTATCTTAAATAGAAAATAAATTTCCTTCACATAATTAAAAAAGGCTAGGGTTACATTTCTGTATAAAATGCTACCATTTTGTACCCCCAATTTATGTGACATTACTGGACAGAGGCCAAAATATCAAACCAGCATGTTGTTTTATGTACTGCTGCTACAATTTTCTCTGGAAATCTATATGGCAATTAGGAGAAAATACCATGCAAATTCTTGTGTACCAGAACTGATTATATTGTTTACCACACAGATTAAATCAGGACTCTGCAGAGATCAGTGACAACACATACCTACTTCTGTTGCACATGTCACCAACCACCTCACCATTTCCCGCCGCCGCCAATTTAATGTTGACAATGTCATGCGCATCACCTATTAAAAAAGAGAAATATTTCCTTGAAACATTTGTGTTGCTTTAAGATATGTTAACTCTGAATAGCCAAACACATTGTGGTGAGTGTTGTAAAAATATTTATCCAGATCAGCTGCAAAAAATTATATCTGTAATCAATGTATTTTATGTCATGCATCAGCACTGCAAAAGAAATGAGGGGAAGGAAATAATCCCCTAATATTTGTACTTCTCTGTGCTATATTCTTTCACTTGAGTTGTGTAATATTACCTCATACTCATTTTCTAATTATTTCCTGACACGGAATCAAAGTAAATCTTACAATTCTGTTTCTAGAATGAATGAGATGGGGATATACCACGAAATTTCACATTCATTTCTGTTTGACACAATCATAGCTTTTCTAAAGCAATTAAAGATCATCCAGACTAGGAAAGACTCAGAAAAGGTAGCACACACCCTACAGCAGTCGATTTTATATTTTGTTATATCACACATTCTGTTTTAATTTGCCTATTCTTCCCAGATGCCATTTTTATGGCTGCTAGGTGAATAGCTTCCGAGTATTTTCCACATTCTGATATTATCTGTAAACCCATTGAAAACATTCTCTTATTTATGACCTGAAATTACAAAATACACATAACTTTATTAATGTTCATTGCTATCTACCTATGTTCTTTGTATTAAGAACAGATAGTCCTCGATTTATGACCACAATTGAGCCCAACATTTCCATTGCTAAACAAGACAGTTGTTAAGAGAGGTTTGCCCCATTTTTAGGGCATTTCTTGCCACAGTTGTTAAGTAAATTCCTGCAGTTGTTAATTTAATAACATTGTTGTTAAGTGAATCTGGCTTCCCCATTGACTTTGCTTGTGAGAAGATCACAAAAGACAATCACATGACCCTGGGACACTGCAACTATCATAAGTACATGCCAGTTGCCAAGTGTCTGAATTTTCATCACGTGACCACGAGATGCTGCAACGATGATAAGTGTGAAAAACTGTCATACATCACTTTTTTCAGTGTGTTGCAACTCTAAACGGTTTCTAAACCATGAGTACAGTGTCACTTGACTGTCCAAAAGGTGACATCCAATAAAGCCCATTCATCAGCAAAACTCCATCCATGGCCATTTTCCTCTTGTACTTCTTCAAATTCTGAACACGACAGTTGTGTGGAAACTGTCCCATTCCTCCAATGCAGTGTTTCTCAGCCTCAGCAACATTAAGATGTATGGGCTTCAACTCCCAGAATTCCCAGGTAGCATCTGGGGACACTGCTCCAATGGGAGATGGTGACCAACTAATCTCATTCATTTCTAGGTTTAACTCTATTTTATTCTACTGCACAGAAGCAGCATCTTATTGATCCCACACAGGTTAAGACAATTTCAGTTCCAAAGTAGATGTATGTGTGTATCTGTGTGCATGTGTTTATATGTACATATGTATGTGTGTGCGTGTGTGTGTGTGTGTGTGTGTGTGTGTGTGTGTGTGTGTGTGAATATATGTCAAAGATTAATCCAAACAGCTATGATTCTTGCTGCAATATCAGCCAATTATGCCTGGCCTCAAAAGATAAGCAGTTTTGGACTTTGGACTAGACAGCACCAGGAAACCCCAAAGTTGTAGAAAAATTGAAAAAAAAACCCACATATTAGAAGAAGGCAATAGCAAACCAGATCCGACTACGTATAAATATTTTTTTCTCTAATTACAGCATTAAAATGCCATTATGGAAAAATACCTGAAGACCCAGCTCCAGAGAGACTTTTAGAAGGGTAATATCTGGCAAACTGTCCATAAGTGTTGCTATTTTAAAAGCGTCTTGGGCAAGCTTGAAAATGTGTGATGAGGAGTGAATATTTTTCTGAATAGATTCTAACACTGTTTCAAGCCTTCGAACATCACCTGCAAGAACAGCAAAAGCAAGATGAAATGAAATATCTGTGAATGCTACTTTTATGGCATGAAAACAAGTAAAGCTGACAGATACTGTAATGTATATTTTATGTACTTATTTTAGGGATTCTGCATATATAATGTATCACTGGTAAATAAGATAGTTCATTATATACAGCCAGTGGATCCAGTCCAGAAAAGGGAAATGAAATTAGTAATGAGGGAAGCATGTGTATGAATAAAAAAGGCAACTAATAGATCTTTTAAAAATATTTTTATGAAGAGATATAAAAGCTTAAATAATCTATATTTATATTTGCAGTTTCTAAACATATATCTATATAAATATTGTGATATATGGTGGAAGGGTTACAGATAATTATGACAAAAAGGCTTCCTAACATATTTGCTAAAGTATGGTTCAATGAAAACATATTCATTTTACAAAGGATACAGTAAACCCAACTGTACTATAGTGGATCAGTATCTGCACTACGTACAGGTTTGCTATCATTAGCAAATAAAAGGAAAATTTAAGGCTAAGCTGAAATTAACAAATCAAAACCTTACTTCAATCATAAGGTCAGTGCACTAGTATACTTCTTCCTTAATCAAACTTCCTGTATAGAATCTGCAGAGAAGAATTCTGAGAGTATACACTTTAATGTAAAGAAATTAATACTAAAATATGGAAGGAATGGAGAAATTAATAATGTGCTAAGTAGGTAGATTTGATTATTGCTTCACAGCCTCAGAGATATTAGTGCGAAGAAGTAGTCTGTTTGCTTTTAATTATGTATCTGTGATTGATCATCTATGCACTCAAACATATCCCTCTTTGAGGGAGATGGGGCCTTCAGAAATGTGAAAAATAAATAAATATACATTCTACCCTGCATGGAAGTAGCATTTGGGAATTTCCTAATCTGAACCTTTTGACTGGAATCTTGTTCCACCCTATTAAACAGACTGAGAAGAAGTGATATCCTTGTTAGTTGGCAAAATTCAGTGCAGAGGCCAGCAGGAAAGATCTCTATAAACACTAAAAGAAGCGATAATGTATTAGGTGAATATAGTTGCTTCCTGGTCAAGCAAAATTTCCAACAAAATAATTTCATCCTTTCTTCATGGACTTCATGGATTGGCAAGCACATTTTTTGGCACTTAAGCTGTGTCTTACAATAATGAGAAAGGAACAGTATGCTCAAGAAAGGTGGATATACTTTTATATGAAATGTGGTGAGAGAATGTGGATTGCATTTATTTGTGCAAAATATTGTTCTAGTGTTGCCTGATAAATACTAAAACAACTCAGTCAGAGAGAAGAGTTTTTCATTCTGATTAGCTAATATGCAATTTCCATGTTTTAAGGATATCATTTTTCATACCCTAAAAGTGATTTCTGAAGGTGTTCACAGTAGTAATCTTAGTTTACCAGGGACACATTGTCAGTCATTCTGTTCGATGGATATATTGGTAGAATACTGGTGCTCTTAAGGAGGTAAGTATGATTGATCCATCACTGAAAACCCATGCTTTCTGAAGCATCCTTTGAATGATTTCCACAGCCTTGGTAAGGACAATGTAAGACAGCCAACTGCTAAATAAAATACATTGTATTCAGGCATGTGTTTGCCTTTTAAATTGGTGTATCTGCTGATGTTGGTTTTAACTAAATATACTTTTTTAAAATTCATGTGTCAGTTAGCCTAAACTATGCTTACAGGGATTTCCAAATTATAGAAGCAGCTATCCCAAAGGCTCCCCATGTGTTCCTATCAAGATGATATGTAGACATGTGACTCTTATAGTTGGGAGTCCAGGTTAGATTAAAACTTGGGGGGCTAATATAAGAGAATTGGTTTTTTTAATAACCCATACCCAAGTTGTGAAGTGATTAATTATAAACAACAATGAATGATGGCCAAAAAAGAGCTAATAGCTATGAAATAAATGGAGGTGTGTAACCCTACATACAATCTTGTTCAATAATCCAACTGATTATTGTTTGACTAGTTTCAACTAGCTGAACTTTTAATTACTATTCTAAGGCAGGCAGTCCCATTTAGAGTGCTTTACAAAACTTCAAAAATGGATTGTAACTAAGGCAGGTGTTACCACAGTAAGATCTAACACCTTTAGGATAGAACAGACTTGGTGCACTGAAAAGTCTGTACAAAAATAATTCAGGGCTGAAGTTAAGAATACATTCAAACTGCAAATTTGAATTTTATAGGGAAAAGTAATCTCATCCAAGATGGTTCTGCTTCTATTCTGAACTACCTTTGTACTGACCGACAATCTTGCTTTGATAAGCTGTGCTGCTTTTTACTAGAAAAAAAGAAAGAATTGGTTTCCTCAATGTATCGATCTTTTGACATGCCTCTAAACATGCCTTCCTTCAGCTTTAATTGTCTTTTAATGGTTGGGTTTTTTTCCCTGGCATTTGGTTGTTGTCATTGTTTTTAAAAAATTGCATTTTATGATTGTTTTACTGTATGCTGCCCAGAATTGTTGTAGAGTTTGGCAGCCTTATACATTTCTAAAACAAACAACCTGTCAAAAAACTATGTTCCTTTTGTTTTAAATATATATGGTCTGGCTTGGACTTTGTGCAAACTCTCACAACTTTCTTTCCCTTTGTCAGAAATTTCTACTTTAACTTTTTACTGAGTGTATCTCTTGTCCTGAATTTACTCCTACCAACTATGGCCCTCATTTTCAGCTCTGTGAGCTGGTAAGAGGAAACTGAAGCCAGGAGCTACTCATCTTGGTTTAAGGAAACAAGGCAATTACATCACTTACATACTGCCCTATATGGTGTCTAAACTAAAATGTGTCTAAACTCATATGAAACCTTCTAATCTCTCTGGGGATGCAATAGAAAAAGAGGGAAACTGACAAACTGAAAAAAAATTTTTTTACACTTATCAACTAAATTTGTTACACTGATCAACTAAACACAAATTAAATTTTAGTAAACTAAAATTTCAAATTGCTTTATTGTCAGGATTGTACCTTTGGCTGCTGTTAGCATAGTTGATGCTAACTCACACTGCTGAGATTCAATGTGACTCAGAGTGAACCAACGGGGATACCGGTTTGGAACAACTGATGCTATGTGATGAGGACGAGACATATCTCCTGTTGGAGCTGTTGATTCCAATACCAGTAACCTGCAAGTAAAAATATATATACTCTTACTGATCATGCAAACTTGTAACCTAGTTGATCACAAGTACAATTTTCCTTCTACAGAAACTCAATATCCAAAAGCCACATAGTTTGACCATTTCAGCCTTCTTTAAAATTTACCACAGTTAAAATAGCATGGTTTCTCCCAACATATAGGAAGGGGAAAGTGAGCGCCTAATGCAGGGGTCTTCAACTTGGCCCTTTTATGACTTATGGACTTCAACTCCCAGAGTTGAAGTCCACAAGTCATAAAAGGGCCAAGTTTAAAGACTCCAGGCCTAATGGTTATTCTTAGGCAAATTATTATTATTATGGATCATCAAAGTACAACATTTATTTTTCTTCTACAACTAATCAATTAATTCACTTTAGACAGAAAAACCTTGGACTTCTATATATGTAATTTTCCTTAATATGATTTTGAACAGCAAGTTTCTGCAAATATGAACGTAAACAAGTGACAAACCAGGGAAACTGTAGAATTGTAGTACAGGTGGTCCTTGGTTAAATGATCATTCATTCAGTTACCATTCACAATTACAATGATACAGAATGAGGAGACTTACAACTACTTTTCAAAGTTGTGGCCTTTGCAGCATTCTCATGGTCATGTGATCACCATTTGTGAGCTTACTGCCAGCTTCGAACTAATAAAGTCAGTGGGGAAACCGCTGAGAGTCATTTTTCAGAGTGAGAGGGCAGCATGTAAATTTAATAAATAAATGATCACATGACATTGCAAATAGCGACTGTGTGGGATTTGCCTAATAACTGCACCTAGAACTGCAATTGTAAGTCAGCAGTCATATGGCATCACATTTTATGATTACTTTACTTAGTGACAGAATTTCCAGTCTCACTTACCATTGTTAACCAAGGACAATGCTACTATAAGCCTTTCTTCATATGTGGAGTATAAACAAGCCTTGGCAACCTCTTTTTTCTACTGAGTCTTCATAACACTGCCTTCATATCGCCCTCTGACCTAGGGTAGCACCATCATTAGATTTTCCTAATTAATTTCCTAATTAAATAGCATTTTCTCCTCCATCCCTAAAAAAGTTTTGGTCTGGAAACCATTTAATACACCTCACTGACCAGTTTGCTCGTGGGTGATCAGATGACCATTCCCCCAAGATGGTATCATCAGCCTTGCATTTATTGGCCATGATAGCTTGGTTTAGGCACTATCTTTGGCTTCTGGGCATAGCTTTCCATGATCATTCTACTCTGAGCAGCAGGACAGTCCATTTCTTTAAAACCTGGGTTTCCCCCCCCCCTGTAATTCTGGGACTTCAAGCCAAGCTCTAGTTCAGTATGACAATCTGTTGAAAAGGAAGAGAGAAAGAAGTGGGAGACAGAAAAGAGTTTTTCTCTCTGTTCTGCTTCATGGTGCATCTCTCCTGGCTTTTCCAGCTGTTGATCAGGCTGGATCAACAATCATTCTTTGGAATAGTCATGACCTAAGGAAACCTTGTTATCAATTGAGAGTGGGGCTTCTTTGGAACATGAATTGGACATTATGACACTATTCCCAAAAAGTCCCATTCTGAAAGAACACAAGTTTGAAACAATGCTATATCTACCATTCTGGACATCTGACCAACCTTGCCTCCTCCCCAGCATATGTATGAAGACTGACAGGTCAACATTCTTCCACTGGTGTATGATATTTGATGGGAGGGAAGGGAACAAAGTTGGAGTGGTTCTCTAACCTCTGCTTAAGGTGCCCTATACCTAAAGATTCACCTATAGGGACATCACATTTTATATGACCAATTTTTTCTGCCAACTCAAGAGTGGGTGGCCATGAGGAAGAATCCCATACTGAGCAAGCTATATATGTTAAAATCAATGTAACCATAACATTGTGGTAAGGTCCTTATACAATAAATTCTCTGAATTATTTTGTTTTTCCCGTGCTTCCTATTCATATTGCACACTAAGAAAAGCTGATAATGATCAACACACACACACACACATGCTTAAGGTATGTAAAGGTAAACCTGACATCCCATTCTAAATGGGATTATTATTAGAGGTTTGGAATGTGAATTATACTCTTAATAATTAATGATATATTGACCCAGTTCTGCATTTCTATTTTTCTGTACAGGTACGATGACATTTGCAACCAGATTCTCTGCATTATTTTTTAAAAAGCAAGTATCACTAAATATAATGGGGTTCATTCCCAATGAAATGTGCATGAGATTTCAACCTGTAAAGATTGACACACTTACTGTATGTGAGTGTCTGTTTACAATAGTATGCTGATATTATTTCTATAAATTATTTATAATATATATATATTTATGATATATATATCATACATCAATATATTAGCTTCTATCTCAGACTTTTCCATACAAATGGTACAGCTTCTCTGCAATAATATGCACTCAGCACCTGGATTTCAAGAGACATGGGTGGACAATGTATATATAAATTCACCTCATAGTATGCAGAGAAGTTATCTCAATAACCTTTGCATTCCACCATAGCTATTATTAGAGATATCAATCCCAACAATTGCACTGGAATGTTAACAGCTATTTAGTCAAAAGAGTTGAGATGCCAAACAATATTGTCATATTAAACAAATGCTGGTTTAAAATCTCAAAATATAGACTATTGTAAGAGAGCAAGCAGCCATTCACTTGCTTCATTTTACTTGCAGAGGCAAGTCTATCAAAAGTAATTCCATTCAAGATAAAAAAATAAATTACGAGAGCAAGCCTACATTCAAACAGTGGTTTAAAAAGATACTACAGCTGTACAGAAATAGTTGCTTTTTGCTGATAAGTTATTTCTATCCCTCCCCTACAGGGCTATTATTAGAAGAGACTACACTGTAATCTACTTGAATGAAAATAGGATGGTTGATTTTGTTTTTTTTGCATATGATGTTTTTTTCGTACCATGATGATTCAGAGCAGCTTCAGCGTTTGAAAGGTCAAAAGTGATGATACAGGGCACTTCCATACAACCAACCTCCCCAGTGCTCAAGTTCTCTGATTTCACAATGAACATTCAGAAAGGCTTGACTGGTTTTTCCCCTCCTATTTAATATCACTAGTACACCACAAGAGCAGGCATGTTTACTTTGTGAACTGTGAGATGAGCAGTATATAAATTAGATAAAAGATGGATGGAAGGAAGGAAGGAAGGAAGGAAAGAGAAAGAAAGGAAGAGAAAGAGAAAGAGAAAGAGAGAGAAAGAGAAAGGAAGGAAGGAAGGAAGGAAAGAAAGAAAGAAAGAAAGAAAGAAAGAAAGAAAGAAAGAAAGAAAGAAAGAAAGAAAGAAAGAAAGAAAGAAAGAAAGAAAGAAAGAAGAGGAAAAAAAGAAAAAACTACCATATTCACCGAGAACTGCCAGCCTATCTGAGCTTACCCTTTCTGGCAGGGTGATTAAAAAAAGCTTAACCCACCCCCAGGGTTTCCTTCCTTCTTTAAAATAAGTTTTAAAAATTGCAGGCATTTTTGATATTCATCAGGGTGGCAAATTCCAGCTGCTTTATTCTGTTTCTGCAGTTCTTCTACTAGCCCTGACTTCCTGACACAGGGCTGAGACACTGGGAGTTAGAAGCTGGGACAAGCCGAGCATCCTTGCCAATCACTGTCCTGTCAACATAACCCCATGCAATTGTGCTGCTTCTGCAGTGACCCACAATGCCTAAAAACAGAAGTACTGTACCCCGTTTACAACAAGCCTCATAACTGTAGCTGGAAGAAACGCAGAAAAGGGCAATCAGCAAGTACTGAGCAAAAAAGTCAGCTAATCAGCAGGGGATTCCGTTCACATTAAACTTGTCCCTACAACTCTATCTGGAAGAACCCATTGAAAATCAGCTAGAAAAGGAACTTATAAGCCTTTTGTGTTTGTTTGGGGAGGATATCACTGTCATTTGTATTGCTCTCTACAACTAACAATGGAACTTTTACAGTCATTCAGATAACAGATTTGAAAAATAGCCACAACACTTGGATGGAGGCAAGCCTCTCCATTCTGAAATTATCAGAGAAACGTTGGAAGATCTTTCCCCATCAGTATATATAGCATGCCAACTAAAACACCGAAATAAGATTTGTATAGCCCTGAGTTGGAATCTCAGTTCTGATAGCCCTTCCAAATTTGGAAAAGCTCTTTGTGATGGCAATAGAGAACAAGACTTCTTCTGTAATACCGGTAGGAGCTTTTTCCAATCTTATATGTTGAAGTGCAGTTTCCAGAAACTTGCTGGGTGAAGATCAAAGGAAAGTGTACTTCAAATGATCCAGACATTACCAGGTTGAGGAAGCCTGCGCTAATAGTCTCCAAAAACCAATACTCCGCATATACCTTAATCCACCCAGTAGCAAAAGTTTTCAAAGCAAATGATATTCTTGATCTGCCTCCTTCTATATCTCTCTGCACATGCATGCAAAGAGAACACTTTGCATTCTATCTTCAGAACATCTGTTATTGGGTGGAAATATACAAAATGAGAAGCAAGCAATAAAAGACGAAATAATTATGCACAGGGAAAAAAACATGAATATGCAAAAGCAGCTATCTCAACACTGTGCGGTGCTTAAAAATTCAACTCTTACAAATTCAAAATGTCTGGAAGAGATAAGTGTGGCACTAAAAATATACCAGTGTAGGAGCCAAGCAAGTGTCCTTTGGGAGGAAAAATTTCATCAACCACTTTGGAGGATAGCTGACAATCAGAAAAACTGAAATCTGATTTTACCTGAAAAGAAGCTTACATATAAGCTGGAAGGCAAGAGAAGATCTCACTGCATAAAAATCTAACCAACTGCTCTTTTGTCTTTTCCTCTCTCTCTCTCTCTTAGTTTTGGGTGAATGGTAATTTTATCTAATCATGTCAATGCAGAAGAAAAAACTGGACATAAGATTATAGCCATTAATTGGACACTTCTATATACTAGGACTGTGCAAAACATTCCAATGGATGGGGGAGGCTTCACTAATTATATGAGTGTGGAGTAGTACCCCCATCAAGGCATTAAAGCAACTGCTTTAATTTTGTGTGTACATGCATAAACTTTCCTGCAGAGACTGCCAATCAAGCCAAGCAGCTGTGCATTTGCGCACAAATGCAGCCAGTCATGAAAAGCCTTCTAGAGGACAGGACAATTGCAGTGCTTTAAAATGCTTGTCACAGCCTGTCTGTACCACTGTCATCGGATAACATTTCTATGTCTCTTTTCAGTTGCAACTAAAACTTAAATTTGGTAGATTTATGCTATCTCAAATATTTTGAAAGCTATATATAAACTCTAGAAGAATGCAGAGAGCAGTACAAGTAGTTCTCGATTTACGGTCGTAATTGAGTCTGGCAATTTGGTTGTTAAGTCATGATGGTTATAAAATGTGTCATCACATGACCAGAACCAATATTATGATGTTTGTGGTGGTCATTATGTATACCCATTGCTTGCTGTAGGATGTCTTCTTTTTCTGGATACTGACTGTGGGATGCTGCAAATGGCCGTAAATGCAAACTTGATGCAAGGGCCCAAAATGTGGTCATGTGACCATGGGGGGAAGAGACATCATAACTTCAGAACTGGGTTCAGTCGTAAGTCAAGGACTATCTATTTTAGACACTGTACAAATAGTCTTCAACTCACAACCCATGACAATTTGAATTAATGACAGCCTCTAAAAATTCTATTATGACCTAAAATTGAACTTATGATCATCACCTTGCCTCCATGGTCATGTGATTGCAGTTAGGGTTAGGATGGCAACAGGTCATTGTTTTTAATACCACTTTTGTTTTTATAAATAACTCAAGGTGGCAAACATATCTAATAATAAAACTCCTTAATCTCACAACACATAGACAGGCTCAACCACAGATTCATCCAGGATACTCTGAGCATCCTACAGTAAGCTAAATCCAAAAGCTCAAGGCAATTTCTGGAAGCTGACAAATCAGCCATCAATACAAACATAGAGATAAACCACATTTGCACATCATTCAAAAGAGACAATAAAAAAACAAAAAAGAAACAAAAAGTCCAGACCACATCCTCCTCAGCAGTTAACAACCAGGTAAGCAGAGATTAACACCAGACAAACATGCAGAAAATAATACCCTAATCAAGGAACTACCAAAGAGAAAACTATACCCTCAGCAACATTGGCAGGGCAAAGGTATATAAACAAAGAGCAAGCCCCACACTCTTTGGCACTGATGATATTACATAGTTGGGTAATGAAATGTCTGCAAGTACCAAAGCTCAGAGAGCACCAAGGACTCCTCAGTTCAACTCCGAGCTATATATATTTTCTTCTATTCTGAAAGCTCTCCAGCGTCCTACACAGAATTGATTTCTTCCCAATTTGTATAAGCAGACTGTTTCATGAAGAATTATAAAGTATGACAAAAATAAAGAAATATTTTTTTTGCTTGATTTGTAAAATGTTTTTGGGGGGTAACAGTTTGATTAGCCTAATCACATGATGGCAATGAGGAAATGGGTTTATATTTGTATGCACTCTCTCTGTCAACACATAAACCTTATGTTGTGCAAAACTTTGGATTCCAACTAAGAAATGTTATTTTGTACCCCCGTAACATCTGCTAGAGACACTTTAAAGCATCTGTGACTTCCCTCCTCCTCCCCCCAGCTTGTACGGCTGCTCTTCACAGCTGCAACTTTATCTTGGAAAAGATGCATTTGGTTTAAGGCATTTCCAACACGTTCTCTGTGCATGCCTATGGAAACTCCGAATCACATTTCTCCCTTTGATTCTGAAGTGCACTTCAGCTCTAACAGACATGAATGGAGACCTAAGCTTTCAATGAATATATTATGAAATTCTTCCTCTGTGATATAAACCTGCATTATACCTATCACTGCTTCACTCCAGTGAGGATAAGTTGACTCTGGTAATGCTTTCTAATTTATTTCAAGAAATCAACCACTGAAGCCAAGAATGTGCACAAGTTGGGGGGGGGGGGATTCAAGAAGGCAACCACAACCATGGGGTCAAAGCCCTGTTTTACATGCAATATCCATAAAAAGGGACAGGGCTTTAATCCCATGGTTACAGGTGCCATCTTGCTTTTTTGCACACACCCCTGCACTTCCTTGGTTCCAGTGGGTGATTTTCTGAAACAAATTATAAAGCATTAGAGAAGGCAACATTCCCCAACTCAGCACTCAGTTATGTTGGAAATCACCTAGAAATCCCCTCAGAGTATCGGTTCTCCCTTGCTTTCCAAGAGGACAGATTTTTTTCACACTAGATATACTGAACTGGTTGTACCCACAGCTGCCTGCATGAGTAAAGCTCAACTGAGAGTAAGGATTCCCTTGGGGGCAGCTGAACTCCCAAGTGCTGAAATAAGGAGGGGGGGTCAATCAGCTGTGTTAACAGCATGACACACCTCATTTATTTCCAATTTTCTATCCTGGTTGTCCTATGATGACAGGTAATGAGGCAGACATAAGAACTGGACTGGCTTGTACAGTAGCACAGAAGCAATTGCCTTGAAAATGAAAGGAAAAAGAAACTATGGCGGGACAAAAACAATTCAGATTAGACAGCATAGCAGAACAGAGTATAGTTTGAGGATTTACTTCCAGTTACAAAGAGTGCTTGAGAGAATATTCTAAAAAAAAAAACCCCTTAATTCTGTGTTCTCAACATTATAGCGTATGCTTGAGTCAACATACATAGGCAACCCTCTCAAGAGTCAGATTAATTTCCAGCAGGAAGTACGTCAAGCATCTTTTAGAGAGGGACCAAACTCAGAGCTACTTCTGAAATGATTGAATCTTCTGATGGGGAATTAAAATGAAAGGCTTGGGTTAGAAAGGGTGTGTGTTAGACAAATATAAAAGTCTTGCAACTTTTGCATGTTATTCATTCACCCAGATATCACACCTCGTGATCAGACTTCCAGGATGGCACACTTCAAATACCAACTTTTATTTCCTCAATTTGATAGTTTCTAAAGGTGTTGAGTTTGTAACTTGCATAAATCCCAGGGGGCAATAGATCAAGCAGCCCTTCTCACTTGTGCACTCTCCAATCATGCTGGAACTGCAAGTCCCAGAATTCCCTAGAACAGCACATGTAGCATAGGGAGGATTATACTACAATACATATAAAAATCAATTGTATACTATGCACTATCAAAATCACTCTGGCAGTGGCTTTCCAAAATTGAAGTTATGGCCCACTCTTCTAAAAGATCTTTTCTTATCTGATAAGAAGAGGCCACCACAGAAAAGGTCTTATTCCTCTCCACCATGTTTTTAACCTCTGAAGGACCACATGTTTGGAGTGAGGCCTCTGCGGTGACTTTAGGGATTTGAAGGGAGAACCATGCTGTCAATTGGAATTGGGCTTCCTTTATAAACGAGTTTAAAGATACGTACCGCATTGCTCTCAGTGCAGTTTTGTATGCTAGTTCAGCATCATGAGGTAGGAGAGAGGTGAAAAGATACTTGGCAAAGGTATGCATTGGAACACTCTCCCGATGGATGATTTCACCTAGACCACTATAGGGTCCAGCTATTGGAGAGGGGAGGCAAAAGAACAGAAAATCTTATAATGAGCACTATAATTTTATTGAACATAAAATCAAAAACTATCAAAAAGCTAGAATATTTGCACTAATCTTTGCCAAAAAAAGAAAACATCCACTGTAAAGTAAAAACTCTCTCTGGTGAGGAGCCCTCTCAAAAAACTGCAAGAATACCAAGTAGAAAATATTGTATTGAAGCAAAGAACTGAAGCTTGTATAGATTTTTGAATCATATTTTAAAACATGTTTTAGCAGAATATAGTTCACAGCTCAAGAAAGTATTTGAAAGCGAGAAATATTCCAGTGCAGATCTCCCAATCTTTATGCATAGTCACCCAAAATGTGTATTTTTCCCTAGAGTGTCGTGCATGTTAAGGCAGGTCACTGTAAGAAATGCCTGTATCCTTAGAGCACTCACCCAAATTCACAATAAGTGCAAATACAGGAACAGAACATTTTAGGTGTGGCATATCAAGTCAGCCTACTCAAGGAACTATATGCTTGGAAGTAGCTGTTCCATGACTCTGTAGGGCCCGTATATATAATGAAGATCTTCTCAAGATCTACTATCAGAACTGAACATATATAACACTAGGTATATGATCTACTACTACAATACTGATAGAGCATGGTTGCCATTAAATATAAACTTTTATATACAGGAAAGCATCTCTGGTATCTTTGAGTATTTTTTTAGGAACAAATCTCTATCTTAAATCCTGGGGAACTATTGTCAGTGAGTGCAGTTGAGCTCCCCAAAGTGCTAGTATGAATCAGTATAAGCTACTTTTCTATAAATCTTATTTTAAAAAGAAAAGGGAGACAATCACTCTTAGAATTGGATTTTGTAGAATACATCAGTCATGCAAGTTTTTATCACTTTTTACCTATTAATCCCATTACATTTTTTCTGACTTAGGTGAACCTGAATAGCCTTCTAAAAGAAGCTTGTGACCACAGTATACTGAAAAACTGTAGCAGAAAAATACGAATGATTGTGCTTCAAAGATCCTTAATGAAAATAAACTATCTTTTTTATTTTTTTCCTCAACGATATCTCCAGAACTACTACTTTACACAAATTAACAAAGATTTTGCATTTCAATCATGTCAAGGAGTTTCCTTTCAGCACATATTTAACTGCTTCTACTCTTAGCCAATGAAATAATAGGAAGTGTTTTCAGATGTTACAGTTTTAATCATTTAAACCTTTGGCATTATAACTGAGGGCTACAGTATAGCACATGACAAGAGAGATACTATCTTGTAAGATTATCTGGGACTTATGAAGTGGGTAGGTTCTTCGGTGGAATGAGTTTGGTCATCTGCATTTTAAATCTGTGCACAGTTGAATCCCAGCAAGACCAAGCTGCTGTTAAAAGAGGCATTCTGGATCCATAAAGATTCATTCCACCAGACCTGATGGAGTTGTGCTGCCCATGACAAAGCAGGAATATTAAGAATTTTTTTTGGCTCATAATTCTTGCTGGAGTGTGCATTTAGATTAAGACAAGAGCAACAAGCAGTTCTCTTGGATTAGGAAGCATTAAAAACATACCACTATAATCTTACAGTTAGACTACCGCAATTTGATCTATGGGGTGGGGAAACGTACTTGAACACAATCCTGAAGCTATACTGCCCCAAAACACAGCTACCTGACTATTGAATGGATAGTAACTTGTTCAGTAGAACAATATCATTGGTTGGCAATAGCTCCTCAGCCCAATTCAAAGTGCTGGTGATTACTTCTAAAGCTCTGTATGGTTTGGGCTTTTGATATCTTTGGGACAGTCTGGTCCTCATAGAATCTGCCTGCCCACCGGGTGGGGTACTTTGAGTTTCCATCCTCCGAAAGATCAAGCAAGCAGTAGCGGCAGCTTGCAATGATGATCTTCTTGGCAACAGCTGCCTCACTTTGGAATACCATATATCCAGAGGCCAGAATGGCATCAAAAGAACCTCTTTTGCAAGGCTCCTCAAAGCTCCTCAATACTGAAGTTAGTTTTGATGTGGAAAACAAATTTTATCTTGATTTTATTCAGTGTACTGAATTTTTATCACTTCTATTTTTTTTATTATTTATAAATTGCCTAGCAATTTTGTAAATATACAAACAAGCCCGAAAAGGATAGAAACCTTGAAAGGTGTGACTACAGTCTAATTCAATAAGACTCATTATATTATTAGTGATTTTAATTCACAACTGTAGTTTTTGATATTCATCAGGTATAAAAATACTCAAGCAACAAGCCTAAACAGAATAAATACAATTCTCAGGGCTCTGCCCTACATTTAGGCAATACTAAGTTTAGGTCAGAGGTCTCTAAAAATTGATACAACCCTATCCTTGTTACTGCTCCAGGTTCCTCAAAGAAAAGTCAATACCTGACTTTTGATTCTTGTACTTATCTACAGAAAGTGCTTTTCTTTGGAAAGGTAAGAAAGATGGCCACTCTTATATTTACTTGACTTAAATTTTTATATTTGTTGTTGTATCCATGAAGTGACAATGCATTTTAATTCTGCCCTCACAAAATTTCAAGTATTATCCATCCTTCTTAATTTAGGTAATATTTGCTTCCAGAAAAATTCCACTAATAAAAGTTACTTTCAATCATTACAAAAATCTCCATACACTTCTGGGTGAAGTTTCACATAAGATGGTCATAGAAAAGCTTGACTAGAGAAAGAAACTTCTTGTATAAGAAGCAAAATCTTTTCAAAGAAAAAAACCCCAAGAAAGTCCAGTTGCCTTTTGGAAAAAGCCTCTTTAGGATAACCATGACTTGGATCAGTGGTGGGATTCAGATATGTGAACAACCAATTCTCTGTGTGGATGCTGCTTCCGGAAGTCCATTTTGGGCCTGGGCAACAAAAATTTAGCTACCGGTTCTGCCGAAGTGGTGCGAACCGGCTGAATCCCACCACTGGCTTGGATGATTGAGAATCTCCATGACTAGAGAAAGCTTAATTGTATGTGTTTTAAGTTTCACCCGAAAGAGATAGTGATGACTACAAGAATTTCATAATCTCACATGTGAGATTGAAATTTTCCATGCTCGTTTAAAATAGCTAGAATTACAACAAAATAAACAAACCTATTTTAATTTCCATTCTGTAGAGTCAAGGATAACCATCTCTTCATATGTGCAATATTTAAATTCGTAGATTGGGAATAGTTAGAAGCTCTCTAAACAGTCATTAGATTTGTAAGAGCTTGTTGATTATGAAATGAACCTACTTAGGAACCTGCCTCCTATTTTTGTTAAAAGCTGTTAAGAAAGAAAGTTATCATCAGTAATCAGTTACCTTCTAACAGGAAGACTGCTTGCTTTTGGAAAATCTTCACCAGAGTGTCATCCAATTCTATTTCATGTAGTTTGGAAATTAGCTGTTCCTCATTTCGACAAACCTTCTCTTGCGCATACAAGCCATCAGGCATTATCCTCTGCTGACCCAATCCTATCAATGCCACTTCCACTGCTAGTGTTAAGTAAGATTCTCCTTCTTCTAAGAATTTGTGGGTAGGCAAGTGATAGTATTCCAGAGATTTGCATGGGCCCATGTTCTCTAGAACAAAAAGTTACAAAATAAAAACAATAAAGCCACTGAAAATGGTTTCTCAGAAATTATATGCCTTATTTATTCCTATTCTTTATCATTCATAAGCTTCCTATAAATGTAGCAAAACTAGGATAGTTACATTTGTACATCACGCTAAGCCAAACATTTGTTTTTGCTTCAGCATTTTCTATGAATATAGCAATGTAGTTTGTAAATCATGGCTTATGTCACATGTAATATTAAGCAAGTTAATGTTTTATCCAATAAACCATAGATAAATAAAATATGGCTTAGGTATGATATGAGAATCCTGTCTTACAATAAGCCAATCAGAACACAAAATTTCAAAACATACAAAACAGCATTTTTGTAAAATGTATTAATAGCAATTTGAAAGAAGTCAAATGCTGTCTACTCGAAGCTTAAATATAAAACAGCAAACGACTGAAAAATGAATTAAGAAATCCTTACTTCTGTCATGAGCTCACTACATGGTTGTAAGGAAATCTCTGTTTCCTATTCTTTGCCATCCTTCATCTGCAATATGCACAATAACAATACTGACTAAATCATAGGAAAGTAGTAAAATCATTTTGGGAGCCACCCAGATTTCAATATAAGATGGGCAGTTGTGTAAATGTTTAATATAAAAAATTATATTAAATAATTTAAAATGAAAATAAATAAATTATAATTAAATTATTTACAATATGAACAGTTGAACATGCAATGCAATGTTATTAATATTCTTAATATCAAGTCAAGTAATAAAGACCACATGCTCTGAATTCAGAAAAGGTCTCAAATTCAGTCCAACATCCTAAACTGAAAAAGGATTAGCTAGATACATTTTTCCTTATATTGGTATTCTACAGATTTGCTGGGGTTATAATTCCCTGAAATCTTTTCAGCCATGTTGGCTGGGTATCAACACATTTGGAAGGCAATAGTTGGGTGAACTTATACCTCTCTTGCTATCAGGCAGGTTGATACATTCAGTAAGTAAGATAAGCCACTGATTACTCAGAACAAACTTCTATTTCCTGAATTTCCCCTTCTTAAGCATTTTCAATATCCCGTTTCAAAGAATGTTTTAATTATGAAATATTTTGGTTCAAACTGACTGCTAACAGTTCCAAATCTAGTTCTTTCGTTAACATGCAATAAATAATAAAAAGCAACTTGTCTGAAAATACTGAATCCACATACACAGCTAGTATAAGATCAGATTTTTACCTGTGAAATCTGAGAACACATGGAAGCTTTCATCATCCACCCTGCAGGCTTCCATAAGGCTACTGAAAAGAGTGCCAATTGGGTCCAATGGATGCCCAACCCAACCTTCTAGATTTGTAATAGAGGTAACACCTTTGTGAAGAAGTTCTACATAAAAAAAACAAGCACACATATTGATTATATGATCATAATTGTATTGATATTGTTTACAGCATTTTAAAATGCAGAACACACATGTTTCTTTTTCTTATCAGTTAGACTTTTCCAAATCAGTAAAGTAAATCTAGGAACGACTGGTCATAAATGAGCTAGAATCTGAATTCAGATCTCTAACATGCCCATCAGAGATTCACAATAGATGAACTGTGGCAATGCCAGTAGCTGAAATTTTGATTAACTATAGCACTGCTTAGCTTTTTCAAACTCCAGCAATGAAGAGAAATCCTGGTCAGTTGGAAATAATCAAGATCAAGCAACGTCTCATTTCCTAGGAATCAAAAATGTTGACTCTACTAACAACAACAAAAACTGTCTAAAGTTTTTACTGTTGTTGTTAATAGTCTATCCAAACTATCTTTAGGGCTATTTCTACAGAATTTATAAACAGGAAGCATATTTATACTATTCATAGAAGAGATATTTATTTTAGTTTCTCCATTTAAAAAATGTTCACTATTTTAATTAAGAATTCTTTAGAACTGAAACCAAGAGACCAACTATTTGAATGGGTAACTTCCAAGAGAATTTGTGTCATATGGAATAGAAGAGGTACATTATGGATAGTTCACTGTCAGTAAATGACAACAACCACTTCCTGAGCCCCCACTAATCTGCAAAGGGTTGACTATCTACTCAAGATTCCAGAAAATACTAAACTAAATTTTAATACTACATAAAGGGAAGAGAAGTAGAACTGGAGGCAATAGCAGCAAATGGAACAGTAATATGGGATACTACAGATAAGTTACTCAGCTCAAGCAGTGCCTATAAATTTTTTGCTTCAGGCTCACAGCAATCTGCAGAACATTTTAGGTGCAGAGAGAATGAAGCCCATGAACACAGCTCCAGCCTCACCATCTGAATACCTCCATGTATTCAGGTGGGAAGTTTAAGAGGCAGATGAACTTGTGTTCAGTTTTCTTCATGAGCTAGGTCTGGAATAAAGCTGGGCTCTTGATCACACAGCCATATGAACTTATTACAAGTCAACATTAGTACAGATCATTAAGACCTCTCACCTGAATGAGTGGAGGCTGGAGTACCTATGTGCTCGGTTAGTACTCTCCCCACTGTTAGCTTTCTAGACATTCAAGCAAATGTCTGAATGAGCAGCAGATGTTCTATCACTAATGTCTTCAAGCAAATTCTTAAAAGAATAAACTCACAAACAGATTTCCAGAATTTTATTAAATAAAATACTAGAGTATTTTGTTCTCAGTAAGGGAAAAATAACATTAAAGTAACTCAGATGGTTATAGAAACAAAGGGCAAATGGAGAAAAGTCATCCTGCCCCAAACTCTAACTGTAGTTGGTGAAATTCTTTGGCCATGGCTTCCTACTTTCTCTAATAATTTTTCTGTAGTTCTTGCATTCTTGTATTTCTCATGATCTGCCTATATGGTTCATTTGTGGCTGGGAAAGTGGGTGAAGCCTAATGCATGATTATAAGGAGCAAAATGCACAAGCAAGGCTGGGTGCATTGGACTCTGTCTTATGTCTCCAAGCAGTTCCACCCAATGCTGTCCACATTATTGGGGGGGGGGCTGTCATCCCAAAAGTGAACAGGCCTACAGAAACTAATCCTACAGGCCTAATCTTCTGCAGACAGGTAAAAATGTACAGATGGAAGTAGTGGAAGGGCTACATCATATACATCTCCCTATTTTTTCTCTGTGCCATATTAATAGTATTATACACACCCTCTTCAATTTTAAAAGACAGCTTTATTTCCATTTTCCCTATAAACAAGCATCCTTACTTGGTAGATTTCTGATCTTGTAGATAGGGTGTTATTCAAAACTGGGTTAGAGCCCATCTCTTGGATTTACTAGGCAGGACCTCACCCAGTGTTGATTGAGGCTATCTCAAAAAAAGAGAAAGAATCTACATCTGAACTACAATCAGTATAGAAGCATGGGAATGAGCTTCATAGTTACACATACATAATTTCAGTGAGAGGGCAGAGATCTTATCTTTTTATTCAAGGACACTCGTGTATTATTTCACTTATGAGCGAGTGAGCAATGCACTAACAAAGAGGGTAAACTGACCATGGTTTCACAAGCTCAATTTTTTTGCTCAGCTTACATGAGGCAACTTTCTCGGAACTCATGCGAGAATCTGTATGATTTATGGATACAGTCACTTCCCACAATCACATTTTTAAACTGTTAAATGAATAATCTTAACTACCCACCTAAATAAATCAGTATTTAAAAAGCCCTGAATAAGAGTGCAGATGATGGTTCTGCTATTTTACAAATAGATGATTATAATTAGCTTGTTTCAGGAATATTTTCTCTATAATGTTCTGCACCTAAATTTAAGATTAAGAGAAGAGAATGAAAGAGCTCTTTGTACTGTTGTTTTACTGAGAGATACAGAGAAGCAGCTTTATTCCTACCAGACATTTGGCAATGAACTGGCTCTTACACACACACACCCCGCTACAGTTACTGCAAACCTGCAGTGCTATATGTTCAACCAGCACTTGCTTATTCTTAGTCTCATTCCAGATTTTTTCTCACCATGCTGTATCCTTTGGCCTTTCCTCCTGCCCACATTTACCTTTCTTCTGGAACCGGAACATTTCCTGCTGCTTCTGCTGCTGCCTCCTTAGAGTATTAACAATAGCAATTGCCAGCCGCAGTGCTTCCCTTGGGTAGCCATGAGATCGGAGTGCGTCTACTCGTGCACAAGCCGTAGGCACATGCTCTGACAAAGGAAAAGGGAAGGCATTGTTAAGTCCATCTGGGTCTGGAATAAGACCATTAAATAATTTTAGGAATCTACAGGAAAAAAACCAATCGAGCAGCCCATCTGAAAGGAAGCTCTGTTGGTTTCTCCAGATGTTTCTGTCTTTTTTCTTCAACAACAACAACAAAAAAGAAAGCATTGAAATCAGGGACATGTATTTCCTGCTAAGCCACTTACCATGCCAGAGGGGCCACCCATGAGAATCAAAGAGTGAGTTTTGAGCTTCTTCGTGGTAACAGTAGTTGGTATACAGATCACTGTTAATAATGTGCTGTAAGTGACTGTCCTGCCAATGGAGATCGCATGCCTCAATAGCTCGTGTGAACACCGTTCGGTGAGACCTGTTTGATGAATCTGCCAGCCCAAAGAGTTCAAAGAATTATATACTTTTAAATGTTCATATGGCCCCAATCCTCCACATTCATTCCCTACTTTCCATTCTCTCTTATTAACATCATTTTCACACATATTCCATAATTTTGGATGAAACCGAAGTTACCCTACATCAGCTTTCCTCAAACTGGTTTCCTCTAATGACTTAACTCTCACAATTCCCAGTCAATATCTGGGGATCATGAAGCTTGGAATAGTTGCTTTATACACTCAGTTCACCAAGTTCAGTTAAGACTGAGCAGGAGACAATATTCCAGTTTTATGATTCTAATACAAGCTAGTCCACCAATGATTAGTTTGCACCATAGCTTCAAATCACACACATAAACAATGTATATTTAATATTCAGTTTCAAACAGGAACAATTATAGATATACAAGAATAATCACTTCTTTGATAGAGGAGAGGTTGAAGATTCATACCAAGGCTATACAGATTTAAATTAATACAAAAGCTGCTGAGGTACTGAGTTTTCTTTTTACTGTACAATGCCAACTTGGCATTTAAATGCTAACTTGGCATTTAACTACACCCCTTCAAACCACACAACCAGGAATTTGCAATGTGGTTTTAAGTAGCTGGAAGATGCACTCTCTGCAATTATAATTTTAATCTGTTAGAAAGTGCAGCAGTACTGTCGACATCCTAAAGTAATTTTCGTTGGTGGTGTCACACAGCAGGAAAGGTTAGTAAATGAAATGAAATAGTATGAGTGATCTGAGAAAAATGTATTAAAGGAATTATGGACTGAATGCTTCAACCCAAATGCTAGTATTGGGAGAAGCTGGGAAACAGGGTTGCTTCGTATAACATTTGAATAAGAAAATGAACTATAGGCATTAGCCTCTAATTACTTTCATCTGTTTTATAAGGCACCAATATATACATCATGATATAAAAAATACTAATATTTTATTTACTGATTTTGGGAAAAGTGTTTGATTTAAAACATTTCCATGATGCTGCAACACCAGCAACTTAAATACGCATAGTTCCTATTTAGTACAGCATACTGTGTTTACATTGGAAGGACATCTACACAATGAAAAGCAATTCAGAACTAAATGTCAACCCAACATTCTATTAGCTGAAATATAGTCCTTGAAATGACCAAAAGAAAATAACATGACTCACATTACTGAAAATGGCTTGAGGTGTTGTCAGTGACTATACATACATGTGTATAGTCAGCAAAACCTGTACACTTCACAAACAAACCATCTTTTAGTTAATCTTTTTTACCAAAGGCTTGAAAAATCCAGAATATCAGCATTAAGATATTATTATGCTTTTACAAAATGGTAAAGGCACAGCATCTTCAATTAAACCAAACCAAAGTTCACCTTGTATTCCATTTGCACCCTGAGGCAGAGCATTGGTTAGACTTGGCAGGTCATTTCCATGGTTCCCATCTTCCCAGGGACACACATCAACACTATTCCATTTCTTAAGCTGTTTCAGCCAACTGGCCTTTTGTTCCAACTTGCAATGAGGATTTAATACTATGCACATCCAAAGAGCACCTACAGAGAGACAGACAATATCCAGTTGGGCTGGATACCTTGAAAGTAATGAAAAGAACTATACATACAAGTTTTTAAAATGGATGCAATAACAAAGCTCTGTAGCAGGTCATGCAAAATGCACCTTTGAGAGCTTGCAGGAAATTTTATCTTATTTATCTAATTTATATAACTCCTCCCCCCATCTTACAAACAAGTGACTCTTGCCAGCCTTCAACAAAAACCAAACAAATTAACCAAAAGAATCACCTTGAAAATAGGCCCCCAATCTAATTAAAATCTCTGAAAATGTTTCATTCTCACTATTACTCTATATTGATCTTTATTTTATATAAATTCTATACTGATCTTTATTTTCAAATCTAAAAGTATTTGAATGTGCAGATGTTCTGTACTTCTCTGCATAACACGAGGGAGAATAAGCAACTTCTGATTTTTTGCAAGTATTTTTTGCCTTTTGTTAACCAAGGACAGAAGTATACTTCATAAATATTGCTGCAATTACAGTATGTATGAGAAATCCTTCATTGAAATTTACAGATCTAATTTTCTGCTGACATTTAAGTCTGAACCAATCCAGGACCTCTATCTCTGACACTGCATGCTAATCAAGACATGAATAAATCAGGCACTGTTGGAACATTTTTAAATATAAAGATATTGCTCTTAAAATCGGCTGTTGCAGACTCTTGACAAGCAAAGAAAAGACATCTACAAGTACTATTTAGCAACACTTCATTTGTTCATCAAGGAAGAGTTTTACATAGACTTTTACAGAAACCTTCAGAATCTGTTAAAAATGAATGACAACCTTTCAGAAAAGACATGCAACTGAATATGACTGATAAAGAATGCAAATGGGAGTTGGCAACTAAGCCACAATCTATGCTGAACGTATTATACCAATCTTCAAAAGCAGTTCAAATGATTTTATTTCTCAACAATTTGGAAAGTATTAATTTTTTAGTAGCAGCAAAATGAAGCAAGCCAAAAGCTCATACTAGCCTTCCTTATATATCTTTATTTTGCAAAATGTACAGCATTTGCTTCCTAGAGAAGCTGGTAGATGTTTAACACAGAAAATACCTGCTATTGTTTCACAGTTGAGGGAGAACCATATTTACTGAAATATGCATTCAGAAAGCTGCACTCAGACAGACTGGTTTTGTGCACTGCATAAAATCATAAGTTTTTGCTTAACATTTTGTATGAACATGGCACTGCAGTGGTGGGCTTCTGGAGCTCTCTCTTGCCATTTTGAGTTGAGAATCCCATAAATCAGTGTAAACCCTAAAGTAGCCATATAATTAAAACAAAGAAAGCTCTCCCATTCACTACCATCCCCAAAACAATCTTGCCCAAATGTGCAATGTGGCCACACTCATTATTTGACCAGATCAGTTTTTACATTAAATACTACAGTTCATGAATTCAAAATGATTCAGTCTATTGACAATTAAAAAGATTTTTTTTTTCCTGTTCCTGGCAACTGGTAAATTCAGCCCATGTATTCTTTCATCAATAAATGATAGCTGTTCAATTTCTGTGCATTTTGACATTTTTAACAAACCAGGGTTCAGTGACAAAGCTAAATGGTAATTCCTCCTTAATTTTAATATAACTCTGTAAAAAAATTTATTGTTGGGTTCAAGCTTGGTTATATAAGGTACAGACACATATACAGTATGTTTAGATTTTTTTTTCTTAATATTGCTGCAACTCAGCCTGCTAAGAGATTTTCCTGGTACAAAGATAAACACATATCATAAATCAATATGCAAATTCCATATTTCCCTGAAGATAATTAGAAGACTCATCATGCTGCAACTGCAATTTGGTATTAATTTCACACAAGAGAAAGAATATTAAAACTGTCACATCTTAGTGAGGCATTGTCAATTCTAGTTTCACAATTATTATCTTGCTCTGAATTAGAGGTGGCTTTACTTCATCAAATCTCATTTCAATACAGACATTACAAAACCTATTGGACACTAGTGTTTTATCCTTTCAGATAAGCAGAATATAACCAGTAATCAGAAATAGAAGTTTCTTCTTATATTATTACTTAAACAAATATTATTAAAGTCCTGTATTATATTAGCATACATTTCTCCACCACATATAAGCTATTAAGCATATATGCAGTTCCTGTTTTATGATTAATAATTGTTTCCCATAAACATTAAGATATCCCAAAGGAGCTATTTCCAAAAGGCAACTGGAATTTCTTGGCTATTTCCTCTGAAAACATTTCACTTCTCACCCAAAACGTTTCTTCAGTTCTGAACTGAAGAAGCTTCTCAGATGAGAAGCAAAATATTTTCAAAGGGAAAAAAAACAAGAAAGTCCAGTTGCCTTTTGGAAAAAGCACCTTTGAGACAATCATCACCTGGATAATTGAGAATTTCCACAGACACACATTAAGATACTTGGCTTGCCATAAAACAGAATTATCTAAGTTAATTTACATCTTTTCCTCCCATCCAAAGATAACCAACAGAGTTACTGAGGAAAAAATAAAAGATTTACTTAGATTAAAGAATAACTGAAACAAATCATTAATTGAAAAACAAATGAGATAAACGAAGATTTGGCTATACCGGTAGGATTTGGCTCTTAGATACTCCCAGGACCCCTTCTTCCATATGGAGCTTAGTCCATCCTGTATTCTCATTTCAGATGGATAGATTAGGTGACAGGATGGATAAATCAAGCATAACATTTCTCCATGACAAACTCCCTTAGAGGGTGATTGGCACCTATTCCGACATTTTTTCTGGGGTTGCTTTTTTAATTGGTCAACCTTACAAATTCAACATTTTTCCATAGACCCTACTTTTTGGAATGAAATCCCCCTGAATCCATATCTGTTTGTGGAACTGCCTCTCCCTGAGGGTATCTGCACATCCTATTAGTTAACTTTAGATAGAGTAGATACACTCAAGGTCTCTTTCTTTAAATGTTATGACCTGATGGGACCTCAGAGGTCTGCTTCTTGGTGGCCATCCCAGCCCTTTGGAAAAGCTTCTCACCTGAGATCTGAGGGATCCCTATCCTTTTAGCCTTCTGAAGAGCCATGAAGACCTGGCTCTTTCCCCCAAAACTGCTATGAGATTGAGATTGAGCTAGGAGGCTGTTTGGTCTTGCACCTCAGCGTAAGGATACTTTTCTTTGTATCATTATTTTTATAGATTGTTTTGAGCTTCCTAGAGTCATTATATGAGATAGGTGGCCACATAAGTCCAGAAAGTCAGTCAGTCAATCAATCCATCAGTCTCTCACTCTGTTGACATTCTTTAAGGCTGAACACTTGGCTATTCTCTTAGTGGATGGGTTAAGACATATGAACCTCCTCACTTGATATGGGTTTTTTCCCATGTTTTTGTACAAAGTGATTGAATCCCATCTTGTTTTGTTCTGTAATATGTTTTTATGGTTTATTATATTGTGAGGTACCCTAGAGTTTGGTTTGAAGTGTTTTTTT